ATTGCTACGACACCTTAAATCGGCAAACAAGACAACCAAAATCACAAGTAAAAGTGGAGAAGACAGAACTATGCAGCTGACCAATCTAACTTAAAAGCAAATGAACAACACCATTTCAAAATAAAATGAGGTAACGACTCGGCTAACTATAGAAATACAAAATCAAGCTAACAAATTGTAACTATCAATATGATCTCCAAAGCGATTTCATTGACGCTTATTAATATATATTTACAACTGAAAACTCACAGAAAAAAAAATGAAACCAAAGCAGACAACAATGCGGGGAATCAACTCCACTTAACAAAATGGGCACAAAGAATGTTACAACACACCATATCGAAATAAAATGTAAGGGGAAGCAGGATTACCTCTCTTGGAGCAGCGACTGAGACAACGAGCTTGAGAGGGCAGCGATTCTTCCACCACTAAAAGCCAAACACAAATAGCAAAGCAAGAAGAAAGAATCGGGGACTTTCTCGGAACTTAGAACAAGAAAGCTAAAAAAAAATTGAAGTGTACAATCACTATTGCCAAAGAATTCAAATTCGAAATAAACTTTTTCCCCTCCCTTTCAATTTCAAATTCGACCCCCCCAAATCAAGAACAAGCAAAGGGTATTTATAGCAAGGGAATTAGGGAAAAGGGTAGAGTCGGAATTCGAATTCAACCTTGATTTGAGATCTCTTCTCCAAAGGATGGGAAATCTATCCGTTTGCACAAGATTTCAACGGAAATCCCGTGAAATCCGGACGAAAAGATTGAAGTTGGGCGGTTGCAGCAGGTGGGTCTGGCAGACGCGATTTTCGGGTGGATTTGGCGTAAAGAAGAAGAAGGCAGGTGCAGTGGGGTCGTTTGCTTGCTGCTGGACTGCTTGGTTTGCAGCGTTTAGGTGGGAATTTCTCACGATTTTGATGGGTTTGCATCACAGCTGGAAGAAGAAGAAGAACGTGTAGAGGTAGGGTCGTTTGGAATTGTTGTTTGCTGGATTTTGGTGTTGCTGTATGTATGGGTTATTGAATTGGAATGGGCTAGGGCGTTTTGGGCTGCTGTGTACATGTTGGGAATTCTTTTGGGCTGCTGGAAAATTTCCAGATAGGCCCAAAAGGAGTCTTTTATGGGTTTAAAAATGTGAGATCAAAATGGGTTATATTTAGAGTTTAAAAAATAGCCAAGTTGAGTTAAATTAACAAATTCGGCTAAATACTAAACAAGAGAAATTAATATTAATTAATTAACGAGCTTCTTAATTTTAATGACATAAAATAACTAACTTAATTGTAAACTAATGATTCAAAATTATAACCATAATTTAAACTAAACTAATTTAATAACATACTTACTAAAATTAAAATCTTTTTGTATGACTTTGAAATGGTTATAAAATATACTAATTATGGATATATAAAGCTTATGAAATATATTTATAAATTATGAAAATCGACCAAAATCACTTACAATGATTTTGAAAAGTATTTGAAATTTTATAAAACTAATTATTTCAAATCGTTCTAAATTGAAGAGGCTCGATGATTAATTTATATTGTGTAGGGTCAAAATTGGGTGTCAACACTAATTAAATGGGAGAAGAGTGGTAAAAGTTTATAACCTAAAATTGCAACAAAGAGAGCAATGAAGAGAAAAGCTTGCTTAAATGAGGCCATCTTAATTATTTTTTTTGTAAAATATTGATGCTTTGCTTCCTTTATGGAAGGCTTGTATTTATAGGCCTAAATTAATCAGTATAGAAACTTGTAAGAAAATGACAAAATGGTTACTTAAGTATATTTTTGAACAGTTTTGTCCTTTACATTTGCAAAAGTGAGCACATTTGATCTATGACAAATATTTAGCAAGCTCTAGTTATTAGATTTTGTGAGAACAATGAAAAAAATTAAGGATTTAACAAGAACTATTAAAAAGAATAATCAAATACACGAACTTCATAGATAATAGGACTTTTTGATATCCGTCCTTAAATAGGATCAACAACGAATTTTTATTGTTTAGCTATACATAATTTACCATTGCTAATTCTTTCTTTCTTTTAGAAGTGAACTCACATTTGGAAATGCAAAGTTTTTGCAGTTACTCTGAAATAATAAATAATCATTTATATTATGACTGATAAGATAACTTGAAATAAAATAATCACTTCTTAATACGAGTTAACTTGAACTGATAGTATATCAATATATATAATTTTAGTTCTTAGTAAAAAACTATTCTTCAATATGCCCTTATATTATATAGAATATTCAATTAAGTCATTTGTTATACTTTTTGATCCATCTGGACTCATGTCATATCAAACCATCTAGTATTTTATTTTTATTTTTTTATGATTATTAACAAAGTTTCAATACGAAATGGATGAACTCCATGTGTCTAAAATGTTCGATCCTTATTTTACCTTTTCTGTAATTGTATCACCACTAATGCTCAAAGCAACTTTAGTTCTTTCTTCATAAGTCATAATTGTTAGGTGTAGTTATCTTTGCAGTATGTAAAAAATACTAAAAAGTATGAAAACTATGTCTAGTTTATTAAAGGGAAAAAATAAATATTACTCAATTTTACGATTTAAAATGGATATATTAATTTTTGAAAGTAGTGTATGTATATCCTCGTTGTGTAATAAATAGAATAGCGATACAGTGTTGAAAAGCAAGTGTGAGTACCAAAACCAATATCAATTCATTTTCATAAAGTTTTGGATTAGCAGCTAAAGTTAACACACCACAAGACTAGGGGTATAATTGTCCTTCTCCCTTTATCGAAAGAATTTTGTTAAATCATATCCTCATTTTATTTATTAGATTAAAAACATCTTTAACTTTATTTTATGATAAAAAAAATAAAATACTCAGAAGTACCTTTAAATACTCCTTTTCAATTCAACCAAAATATCTTTCAAATATCGAGTATTGATATTCATAATTAATCAGAGTACAAAAATGTACAATTCAGAGCACGCTTCTAACTAGTACAACTCTCACACTTACAAATCTTCAAATTCTATACACTCTTTTTGTTGGGTTATGAAGGGAGATTAGGGCGTTATGCGGAAGCTTACAATTGCAAATAATATGATTGATAAATTAGATGACAAAAACTTATACTAAAAACTAATATTATTATATGAAAACTAATATAAAGAAAAAAATATTAAAATTGTTGAGAGATTAAATCTCCCCATAAACAAGACTCTTAAACGACTACATTGTGGATGTTATTGTTATTATGTTAGAAGAAACAAACCTATATTTATAGAGTCCTAAAAAATTTTCTTACTAGAAAAAAAGTCCTAAAAGGAGAGAATAAACCAAATATGAAAGAATATTATATTTTCCTTTCAGGAAAAGTAAAAACATTTATGTTAATGTTTTGTCTTTTCTTTAAGGAAAAATAAATCTTAAATTATGGTAAGAAAATCAGGGCAAAACCCTAACAAATCTCCCCTTTTGGCTGTATTTTCTTGACAAAGTTTGATCTGTCTTCTTCATTGCATGATAATCTTGTTCTTCACAAAATCTTCATCACTGTTGCTTGCCATGGTTAAAAATAAAATTTAAAATATATGGATTAAAAATGGGTTAAAAATATTTTGTTTTTATTCTTAAAAATTGGAGCAACATGAATGTTGAAAATATGGTTGAAACTTCTTCTCCACATGTAGCTTGACAAAAAATCTTCATTATCATCAAATTTATTGCAAACATTTATGTTAATGTTTTGTCTTTTCTTTAAGGAAAAATAAATCTTAAATTATGGTAAGAAAATCAGGGTAAAACCCTAACAAATCTCCCCTTTTGGCTGGATTTTCTTGACAAAGCTTGATCTGTCTTCTTCATTGCATGATAATCTTGTTCTTCACAAAATCTTCATCACTGTTACTTGCCATGGTTAAAAATAAAATTTAAAATATATGGATTAAAAATAAGTTAAAAATATTTTGTTTTTATTCTTAAAAATTGCAGCAACATGAATGTTGAAAATATGGTTGAAATTTCTTCTCCACATGTAGCTTGACAAAAAATCTTCATTATCATCAAATTTGTTGCAAATTGATTTGAAACCACTTGAACTTTTCTTCAACTTCGTTGAACCATAGGACCACCGGATCTTTGAACCATGTGCTCTGATACTACTTGTTTGGTTTTGAAGGTGATTAGGCGTCATGCGAAAGCTTACAATTGCAATCAAGACGGTGATAAATTAGATGACAAATAAAGCGATACTAAAACATAATATTATTAATATGAAAACTAATTTAAAAGAAAAATATTATAACTATTGAGAGAATAAATCTCCCATAAACAAGACTCTTAAACGACTACATTGTGGATGTTATTGTTATTATGTTAGAAGAAACAAACATATATTTACAGAGTCCTAAAACCTTTTTTTACTAGAAAAAGAGTCCTAAAAGGAGAGAATAAATCAAATATGAAAGAATATTATATTTTCCTTTCAGGAAAAGTAAAAACATTTATGTTAATGTTTTGTCTTTTTCTTTAAGGAAAAATAAATCTTAAATTATGGTAAGAAAATCAGGGCAAAACCCTAACACTTTTTCCTAGTGAAAATTGTGAATATTCAAACACACTTAGAAGTACCTCCAAATACTCCCTTTCAATTCAACCAAAAATATCTTCCAAATGTCGACTATTGATATTCATAATTAATCAGAGTACAAATATGTACAATTCAGAGCACGCTTCTAACTAGTACAACTCTCACACTTACAAATCTTCAAATTCTATACACTCTTTTTCCTAGTGAAAATCGTGAACATTCAAACACACTTAGAAGTACTTCGAAATAGTCCCTTTCAATTCAACCAAAAATATCTTCCAAATGTCGACTATTGATATTCATAATTAATCAGAGTACAAATATGTACAATTCAGAGCACGCTTCTAACTAGCACAACTCTCACACTTACAAATCTTTAATTTCTATACTCTTTTTCCTAGTGAAAATCGTGAACATTCAAACACACTTAGAAGTACCTCCAAATATTCCTTTTCAATTCAACCAAAAATATCATCCAAATATCGACTATTGATATTCATAATTAAATAGAGTACAAAAATGCAAAATTCCGAACACGCTTCAAACTAGCACAACTCTCACACTTACAAATCTTCAATTTCTTATAAACTTTTTTCCCTATAGAAAATCGTCAACATTCAAATACACTCAGAAGTACCTCCAAATACTCATTTACAATTCAACCAAAAGTACATATCCACCAAATATCGATTATTGATATTCGTTAATAATCAACACAAAATATGCAAAACTCGGAGCACGCTTCAAACGAGTACAACTCTCAATATATTTCCCTTTCTTATTAATTCTCAACAAGGTGGTTTGAACCCCATGTACTTCCCACTTGTGTAATCCCTCCAAACATCAACAGCTCCAAAACTTGTTATAAGAACAGTACTTAATGCCATGACTATTCCAACTGAAAAAACAATAAGTGATGCTCTCCCATGATGTTCAATGGCTCTTTGTACCACAACTAATCCAATAAGTGAAGCAATTAAACAAACAATTGCAAAAATGAGGGCTGTATTGACATGTTCCATTCCTAGAAATAAGTATTGTACAGCTGACATGGTAGAGGAGAAAAATACCATGAATGAACAAGTTGCCGCGGTAATCTGTTTAAAAAAGAATGTCATTATTAGTCCTACTAAGCAAAGAAAAAAGAATTAACCTAAATAGTCATCCACAACAACAACAATAACAATAATATATTCAGTGTAATCTCACAAGTGAGGTTTGAAGAGGCCGGGTAAGATATACGCGGACCTTACCCTCTACTTTTGTGAAGTAGAGAGGTTGTTTCCTATAGATTCTCGCTTCAATAGCCGTCCATTCAACTGGTTAAACTAAAAGTAGCCGGCAGATATATAAATCATATATATTTTGTGTATAATCATATATGGTTAACTATATGGATGGATACTAACTTCTACTTTATTACACTATAATTACTAAACTATTCTTTATAATAAAAAACAGCTAACTTTACCTAAGTATTACTAAACTCACTAAACTATTTTTTATAACTAAAAAGTCATTCAATTTTATCGTAGGTATTACAAAAAGTCACTAAAAGAAAAGAGACATTTTATATGATATTTCTGCAAAATTGAATGACATTTTGATTGCAAAAAATTGCCTAGTGACTGCATGTGATACCTTAGGCAAAGTTCAGTTTTTTTTCTCTTTATATATAAAATAACAATTTAATAACTTCCAACGATACTTAGGCAAAATTGAGTGAACTTTCAGTTAGCTTAGTGACTTTAATGTAATAAAGTAAAAGTAAACTCCAAATAAAATGACTTACTCAGAAAAAATATATTACTTTTTTAAAATGACTTCTGTCAGACCAAACAAACTTTAATATGAAATAAATAGAGATTCTAAAATTGAAAAAAATTAACAAAAATAGAAGAGTAATAGAGAATTACTTCAGGTGTTATTCCAACTTGAATTAAAAGGGGACTAATAAGCATTCCTCCACCAATTCCAAATACACCACCCAATACTCCTGCTAGAAGTGCCATTAAGGGAAAAATGAACATTCTTGAAGGTCCATTATTCTTTGTTTCACATGTTATTTCCTACATAAATAAGACAAATTTAAATGTTAATCAACAAATTAATCAAACAAAATTGCACAAGTTAACTAACTTCAAATACTTTATTCGTTTCAGTTTATGTGACAATATTTTTTTATAAATCTTTGGTTGGGGATAAGGATCATTAGGTGGATTATTCCAGTTTAGGATTTGAGATTAAATTAAATTTCACGCATATTTAATTGGATGTATTAAATAATGTCAATATTTAAATTTCGACAATAATACGGTGGGATAAGTTATTCAGGATATAATCCCTATTTTAAACCAAATGACCCCTTAACGAGAAGGTTTTAAGGTCTACAAGTTATGATCTTCATTTTTAATCGAATTTCGTATAGATTTAAAGTATGTCACATAAATTGAAAACGTCAGTGATTAATATTAAAATATTATTTTGCTACTTAATATATACCTGTTTCTTGGAGGGTAAATTTTGGTGATTTTCTCTCTTGTATAAGATCCATGATGTAAAAATTACTGCTAGAGGAAATTGAACTGATGAGATAATCCAATATACCACTCCACATGCCTTCATATGAATTATGCCCTACATAATATTATGAACAGTAAAAATACTAAGAGAAGTATCACAACAATAAAAAAAAAAAATTTAAAAAAAAGGAATTAACAACTGATAATTTTCATAGCTAACCAATAAAAAAATTTCTCGCTAATCTTATTTAATAACAAATTAATATTAAAATTCATTCTAGGTATAGGTATTTTGCAATAGATTAATATGTCTTCGATCTCATCTTATTAAATTTATTGAATCATATTATATTAATATGATTTGACGTAACTACTTAAGTTTTTCATCAAGATTCAAATCTCATTCAGACTCACTCGAAAGTCGAGATAGGATCACATGACTCACTAAAATAAAGTTAAAGTAAAGTAATAATACTAAAGTAAAAAGCATGTAAAGACAAAAAAAGAAAGGATCCATACTTATCCATAAGTTGTAAATAAATAAAAATAAAATATGAATTTCATTAAATAAGTTTAAAGCCACATATTAAAATTTAGATTTAGACCATTAATTAATTTTGTTAATTCGTTCTTGTAAAATCATGTACAAATTTATTTGTATGATTAAATATTTGTAACAAACTAATAAAGGCATATTATGTATTGTGTATATAAAATTTCTCTTGCTTGATTAATGATTAGTTAATATATTACTCATCTCATTGAATTAATAATTTTAGAATATTTCAAGATTCACCAAGTCATTTGGCTAGCAACATATATATATATATATATAAACAAGAATATTGTATGAGTTAAAATATCTCACAAAGTTAATTAACTATGTTAAGTTTTATATAAGATAATTAATCGCATCATTTTAGTATAAAATATTGAATAAAAGACTAATTATATTCATAACTAGACAAGGGATATAAACTAATTTTTCAAAATTATTATCTCATATCCCTCTAACTAAACAATCCATAATAGTATGAAAAATCCAAATTAGAGCAGATCAATGCACTAAGTTCTCACTATGCATGGAATTCAAAGAAAAATTAGATCATAAGAGTCTTATTTTACAATTTTTCACTGCTCGAATCAATAAATTCTTAATCACGTAACTAACAAGTTTACCAATTACGTCAACGAAAATAAAATCCAAGTAATTAAAAGACAAAAGAGGAAGGAAACATACTTGTCCATATCGATTTCCACGAAGAAGATAAAGGAAAAAGAAAGAAAACCAAATCATTATTAATACTCCCATTTTCATCCATGGAATATTTTTTATTCCTTTTTCTTCTTTTTCCAATAAAGGTCCCTCAATTTCCTCAAAATTCTCGTTTCTCCTCATAACTTCTTCAGATTCAATTTTCCAATAATAAATTCCTGATTTAAATGTCTTGAAAGTGCACCAAGCAAGAAATATTGCAAACAGAATAGTAATAAGCCATTCTGGGAAAACAAGATTGCAAATTACTCCAATACTAACTCCCAATAGAATACATGGTTGTGAGATTAAAGCTATGTCAAAATCAACCAATATTTTTCCACCATGTTTGGCACTAGGTAAGAACATGCTACAAACAACATTGGCTATCGAGCCTCCGGTTACCTGTTAAGACATAATATATAATTAAATAAATTAAAAATTATAATGTATCTATAACAATATAAAATTTTACATGAGATGATAATACACTTCAACGTGATATCAGAACAAATAAAAAAAATACTTGATTCAAATCTCATTGCTATAAAGAAGAAGTACATTTTAATGCGCCTTTGGTTTTTGTAAAGGAATCATGCCTCAAGTGAAGGGACATGTTGAAATATAATATAATTAAGTAAATATAATTGTGCTCTTCAAAACAGATCAAACTTTTAAATAAGATGATCAAACAACATGATATCAAGGATAATGCAAGAAATACCGAGTTTATATGTTTTGATTAAACTTCCAAAATCTACTTATGCAAAAGAAGTGTATTTTGATCGATTATTTTTTTTTCTTTCAAAGGGTAATAGTTTGTACGTGGATAATCAATTTGAAAAACAGTTTTGACCTATTAATAAAAAATGTTTCTTTTTTTTTTCTAAAAGTTTGATCAAATATCTCAACTTTTCTTAAGTATTTTGGTTCAGAAACTTAGCCAAACAAACAATAAATCTCATCGCTAGCTATCCAAAAAAAAGAACAAGATATTTCGACGACTTTGACATATGAATAAGAATCAAGCAACACGTGAGAAGACATATTGAGACATAATATAATTAAGTAAACAAAATTACGCCCTCTAAAGAGATTAAATGAAATAGTCATAACATTACCATAAAAGCAGAGAAACTTGAGGCTGTTTTGAGATCAACACCAGCAACAATTATTAAAATTGGTACATATAATCCACCACCTCCAATTCCACCAGCACTAGAAATAGAAGCTGCAATAAAACAAAAAATTCCAGCTAACACAGTAGGGGCTCCAATTTTTAGATTATTATTATTGGAATCTCCAAAGTTTTTTTGTTGTTGAATTCTCCATTCATAAATTGAATCCAAGAATTTACCAAAATTGAGGTTTTTTGAGGTGGGGTTTGTTTGATTTGCTAAAGAAAATCCACAAGCGGTTAGAATAATAATAAGAAAGAACAAACATTGTAGGTAGGTTTTGTGAATATTCATTTTGTTGAAACTATTGATACAATGTGATTTTGGAGAGGACATATATATATATGTATGTGTAATATGATCAAGTTGAAGGAGGAGGAAGAAAAATATTATTTAAAAAGGCTTTTTTTTAATACTTGATGTTGATGTGTTGTATTTGAGCTGAGAAATTATCGTAAACAGTTTCTCTATTTTTTCAAAGTAAAGGTAAGACTGAATATACATAACTCTCTCAAGACCCTACTTATGTGATTTACACTGGATATGTTATTGTTGTTATAAATATAGAACTTCATTAGCATTATTGAAAAAAGGAATTAACGACGGATAAATGTTGTAATTAAACAACAAAATTTATCGCTAATTTTATTTAGCGATGGAATATCAAGAAACTATATGAACGCGCACTACTACTCTATCCATTTCAAAATAAGTTAATTGTTGAAGCAATTTTTATAGTTTAAATTAACTTAATTGTTCAGAATAATTTTAGATTTTTTTCTTCCATTTTTACCCTTCATTTAAATTTTTCTATGTGATGAGTTCAAGAAACTTTCTTTGCTTAGTATTGAGAACAATTATCATGATCAATTTTAGTCATTCTAAAGAGTAATTTAACAATAATTAAAAAAAGGTAAAAATGAAAAATAATGCCTAATTAATGTCTTAATATTCTTTTCTCAAAGGAAGTACAACACCCCAACAATTCACTTATTTTGAAATTAAGGAAGCAATAATTTAATAATTTTAGATTAATAATCTATTATTTAACCTATCTTGATCTATCTCATAGAATGACCTACTCATTTACTAATTTGATTTATTTTAATCCATCCAAATTCAGTCCAACCTGTCGTTTTACTTTCAACCTTTGTACATGCCAACATCCAAGCACGCTTGCTTTTTAACAATATTCAGATATATATCTTTCAACCATTGTCCACTTCAACTTAATAGTGACTAGGGCTAGTTATTTAAATTAAAAAGTTCTTAAATGGGAAAAATAATGCTAATACTTTATGCAACATTATCTTGATGTCAATAGCAAGCCATTAAAAAAGCAAATATAATAGCTTAATAATTGACAAGAACTTAGTAAAACATTGAATCAATCATATATATTTTTCGTAGAAACCAAGGGACAATTTGGTTTGTGAGTAAGGGGTACACAAAAATAACATATAGTATTAAAATACCTTGTGGCTTTGTTTAACATGCATATTTAATTGGATAACTATATTTATATAGAGGAATTTTGTTAATTATTAATTACACAATGATATAGGATTTTGATGAAAATAACTTGAGTTTTATGTCAAAACTCATAACTAGAATTTTAACTTCATTTATATGTAAATGACTTGTGCTTTTCAAAATTCCAACCTTGCTCATAGTGAATTTAATTATTTTCGATTTTTTCTCTTTGTTTTTCTTATTTTTTTAATAAATATTTAACATGCTATTTGTATGATTTAATATAAATATCTTATCTGAATAAATTGTTATCTTTGCTCCACCCAAAAAAAATCAAGATAGGATATGCTACACACATATATAAAAATGATAAGTTGATCAAATTGTGAGATAAAAACAAATCAATGACAAGTTGATCAAATTGTGAGATAAAAAATAGATTTATGAAATAATAATAAAAAATATAATAAACAATCCATTTGTTAGAATCCCATTTTTATAAGACAATGGATTTAGATAGTACTTAGTATTTTTATAAGAATGAATTTGGACAAATGAATTTAGACTTTATTTTAGGAAGAATGAATTTGGAGACTTTCTTTTGAGATATCACATTTATTTATTTATTTTTCAACTAAAGTGAGTTGCTAAAGTGACTATATGTGGCAGCTTGTCCTGCTAGGATTGGATTGATCTTTTTTTTTGGGAGAAAAGGGTCAAATGCCCCCTCAAGCTTTTGCCATATTTTCAACTACACACTTAACCTTTTCGGGGGTCCTATTACCCATCTGAACCTTTTTATTTTTATGTTATTTCACCCTCAGACGCTGATGTGTCCACATATGTGAACTCACCTTCGTGAGGCGCGTAACAACGTAATAAAATGTCCATGTGGAGTCAAAATAATCCTCCCAACGGTAACTTTACTCTTTATATAACCCATACATTTATTTTTTATTCTTTTCTCAATTCATTTATCTCCATCTCTTTTGTTCTCGAACAAAAGCTCTCTCTCTTCTTTGTTCTTCATCCACCATTTTCAAAGCTTGAATTTAGTTGTTGTATCTTCTCCAACCTAAAGCGTCTGAGGGTGAAATAATATAAAAATAAAAAGGTTCAGGGAGGTAATAGGACCCCCGAAAAGGTTAAGTGTGTAGTTGGAAATATGGCTAAAGCTTGAGGGGGCATTTGACCCTTTTCTCTTTTTTTTGGTTGGAATTTTTCACTTTTTTGCGACATATAAACCTACTTAAATTATTTATCTTTATAAAGATAAATTTTGATTCAATATCAGTTGATTTCTTATCCTATCTGAAATATCACGTTTACTTAACTAGGTATGTTTTAATAGATAAATAGTAATAATTCAAACAAAAATAATACTAACTGATGATGATTTAGATAAAAAAAAAAACTTAATAATTAAAATATAAAACCCAATAATAATTCAGATGTATTTTCAAGTATTATCTCTTTTTATTATATTTGAAGATACTAGTAGGTCACATGAGTCCAATAGTTGGTATATTTGAAGTTACTTTATGACTTCATTCTTGGTACACATTTACCTGTGTGCATGATTGAGCACGTTAGAGTTATACTTTATCGTTACTTTTTTACTTGTCATATTTTGTTTTTTAAGAGTAAAATTGTCTGATAAAATTTGATCAATATTATAAGATGTATATTTTAATTTTATTAATATGAGAAAAATTATAACTTATAATATTTTTATACAATTATTGAACATCTAATATAAAATTTGGCTCAATAAATTAATCAAATTGACTTTTGTGAAGCAAATTATGACAAGTAAAAATGAAAAGGAGAGAGTATATGCTATAAGTAAATAAATTTATTTTATTTTAAAGAAATATTTTATAATCATATAAATATTTAAGCTTATAAATTCCAAAAAAAATCTTTCTTTTTTCTTAAACTCCACTATCTAATAAAACCATTACATAAATTGAGCCATAAAATTTTAAATTAGTTTGTTGGTTTATTTTTTTTGCTGTGATTATTATTTATTATTTAATATTTGTTTTAGTTTAACAAAGCAACAAAGTGGCTGTAGTTTAGTGGTGAGAATTCCACGTTGTGGCCGTGGAGACCTGGGCTCGAATCCCAGCAGCCACATTACTATTTTTTTTTTAATTTCATACCTTTTGTTTTCTCTTTCGAGCTTATTCGTTAACCTTTATAGAGTTTTAAGATGGAATATAGATTTTTTTACACCATCAGGTTAAGTTGACTCGTAAAACATGATGTGTTCTTTTAAACTACATTGTCAGGCTATCGCGAAAAATGATAAATTTAATATCTTTCATATTCTATGTAGAAGTTGCAAGTGTGACTATATAGAGTGATTCAATGGACAAGGTGTAATAGTTAAAAAGGCCCAACTATTAAGGTATTGTCCGCTTTGACTTGACATTTAAAGTCTCACATTTTTGTCTCCTTGGACTTTTACATAGAAAGATGTCTCAACAACAGATACTGAATTCAACTTTTTGTTGCTTATCATGATATTCAACCACTAGTGGTGTGTGAGGTGTTATACTCACCCTCCCTTCCCTTAGGGGCTCAGCGTTCTCACTTCACTTTATTCCTCCATTACATATAGAGTTTAAGGCTTGTTCAATAACATGTATTATAAGATATTTTACACCATCATGTAAGTTTATCGCAAACAACATCTCAAGTAATTGTTCATAGTTGTATCAATCTATCTTGGCTCCATTTCTGTAATGGAAACTTCATTGATGGACAATGGCATTGACTTGCTTGTAGATTGATCTGACTCCATGCCCTTTGACAACATCTCTGATTGACTACGAAAAAAGAATGCAGGTTGTTTAGGCGCTTGCGTAGTAATAGAGTAACTATTAAGCATGAGCACCACAGAGTCCATTGTAGGTCTTCCATTAACATCTTCTTGAACACACAACAAGCCAATGTGTATACATTGTATCACTTCATTTCTTGAGTATGATTCCGCGAATATTGGATCCATTATGTTCAATGGTGTTCCGTCTCTCCAATTCTTCCAAACCTACAAGATGTATCCGAGTTGGAGGTCATAGATGTCAGCTGATGTCAAGTTTAATGTATCATGCCTTTATTGATCTACGTGGCTCAACCATGGATAATATCATAGTCAAGTTGGATAGCCGTTAAGAGGGAGGGGTATACGAGATGAAATGTTGATCTCTTACGGATAGAAAGGTAAACGGAAGACTTACATAGCTAAGAAGATCTTCACCACCATCTGATTGGTAAAACGCGCTATTCTTTTTTCCACTTATGATCTCCAAAAGCAGAACACCGAAGCTGAAAACATCTGATTTAACAGAGTATTGCCCGTGCATAGCATACTCCGGTGACATGTAACCACTATACAACAAACAAGCAAACAAACAAACACGATGGTTAGCTAGAAAAAACGCGTATTCTTAAAGGAAAACGGAAGTCTTTAAAACTTACTATGTCCCAACAATCCTACTTGTTATTTCTTCACTTTGATCAATTCCAAATATTCTTGCCATTCCAAAATCTGATATTTTCGGGTTCATTTCTGCATCTAACAGTATATTGCTTGCTTTCAGATCGCGATGTATAATTCTTAGACGAGAATCCTCGTGTAGGTAAAGTAGTCCACGCGCAATCCCTCCTATAATCTTGTAACGTCTCGACCAATCTAGTAGCTGCTGCTTTTCAGGATCTACAAAATTTTATCAGAAACAGAGTTTTTTCTTAAAGATCTATTGAAATCACTCTGTAAGGACCACACCACATTTGGTCTATGTACGTGTCTTATGTATTTCTGCAAGAGGTTGTTTCTACACAGACGATTATAGCAATAAGAAGAATATACAAAAATGAATGTTATAAGATGGAAACCAACCGAATAAGAAATAATCGAGGCTTTTATTGGGGACAAATTCATAGACGAGTATCTTTTCATCTCCTTCCAAGCAATATCCCAATAGTCTCACTAAATTTCTATGTTGAAGCTTCGCGATCAATATGATCTCATTCTTAAATTCTTCTATGCCTTGCCCTGAGCTTCTTGATAGCCTCTTCACAGCTATCTCTTGTCCATCGGGAAGTTTACCCTGAGAGTATAATAGGATATCAACGCGAAGTTAACAATACAAGGGAAGATGGACTGAACATAAGGGGTGTGTTTGATACCAGGATGTCATTTTCCATGGAAAATGTTTTCCCTAGAAAATGTTTCTGATACTTGGTGAGTGGAAAATATTTTTGCGAGTCTTTTAATGTTTTGAGTTCTAAAGATTAATAATAACGTCTAAAGTATGACGAGTAAGATGAGGGAAGTCATTTCCCCCTTTTGATCCGGTAACCAAACACTAGAAAATGACTTTCTCAAGGCATATCAAACACATCCCTCGTGACCTGAAAACCAACTTCACCTTGTACACAACGCCAAATCCTCCTTCACCAATTTTGTTGTCGATTGAGAAGTTAGTCGTGGCAACTCGAATAGTGTTCAAGTGATATTGCAAAGACTCAGCAGCTGAAATTTCATCTTCATCTATACACAAGCAAAAAAGAAAATGTCTAGTTAAAAAGTCTTCTTTTACTTTCTTAAACTCCGTGTCAAGTCAAAACTAGACAAACATATTGAAACAGAGGGAGTATAACTAATCAAAGAACTATTCACTTTACCTGTGATCTCTTCTACAACATTGAATTCTCGCGATGTTCTACTTCTTATCCAACAGAAACCTAATATGAAGAGTAGAATCGAAACAGCAATGGGAACAGCTATGGCAACGATTACACCAGATGCAATTCCCCCTTTTCCTGCATCAGTTAGACAATTTTTTTGTTCAAACATTTAAACTTAAGACAGTAATCTGTTCGTTTATATTGACTAAAATGGAACGAAATATAAACGAACATTTTAAATGGAGACAGTCACCAGATATATCGAATGAACGAGTTGATCAGGTTCAATATCACAGATGGTCATTCAACTAAACGTCATTATAGTCATAAAACTAAATTTTGTAACACAAATGGAGAATACATGATTTTCCCCTTTCATCTTGTCCCATTCTTTAACTACACAGTACACACCATTAAGTTGCCAGGGTTTTATGAACCCCAGACTTGTTCAAATAGTAATACTCCCTCTGTCTCATTTTGTTTGTCTAGATTTAACCTGACACGGAGTTTTAAAAAGTAAAAAACACTTTCTGATCATTAAATGTACTACCTTTGTTCCAATTTATCTGACATTCTTTCCTTCTTTAATCAGATTAAAAAGAATGACATATTTCTATATTTAGTATTGTATCATCAGTTCATCACAGGAAGAGCAAATTGAGTTCAATCAAGTGTACCAAACTTGTGTGAAGAAGTTACCTCTATCGTTGCTTGTAGGCGATGAAGAAGGAGGCGTAGGTGGTGGCATTGATGCAGTAACGTTGTAAAAAGGGTACAACTCATACCTAACGTTACAATTCGGAAGCAAAACTCTCCCACCTCTCTTCCCATCACTCGGTAAATTTCCGATAGCAGTCCTCAGGCAATTCTCACAAGAAGAACTAGACACATCAGGTATGCATTGTGCAAATGTATAAACTCTTTCGAGTGACGTAAAATTTGCTTCTTTCGAAGCATATATTTTCCCCGATCGATTATTTCCATTTGCAGCCACACTTGCTATTAATTCATTGATCACATTTCCAAGAACTGATAAGAACCTTTGTGGTTCACTAACATTTTGTGTATTCAAAAAACCATATCTCGTCGCGGTACCAAATAAAGGTTGATCTGAGTAACGTAGAAGGCATTCGTCAACCCAAAGGACAGCAATTTTTCCATTAGGACAATAACTTTCCGAGGTTACATCTTTAATAGCTGTTGACACACAATTTTGACAAACGTCAAGGGAAACGTCTCCCCTGCATAAAAACATGCCATAAACTATATCGGACCCTGTGTTACCAGATGTTGTGTTGTAAAATCCGTTAGGCCTCGAAGAATTCGAGGCTAGAGATGATAGAAGGGCTTTGAGATTGAAGCTATAAGTGCTATTGGAAGTATAAGTTGTGTTCGGGCAGTAAAATGCAGGAGGAGAAGAATTATCTTGACAATTTATAACTTGAAAAATGAAAATTATTATACAATAACATAACAAAATATTGAAGTAGTTCAACATTTTGTTATTTAACAGAGTGATATGTGAAGAGATATATATATATATATATATATATATATATATATATATATATATATATATATATAGTATTGACAAAGTTGATGGTGTAAGAGAAAAGTATTATGAAGACTTGCTTAGGCTTTATGAGGCAGCTGATGTTTTGTTTCGAGCGTGTTTGGTCAAACTTTCAAAATTCGGCATGTAATACATAAACATACACTTAAATTTGACTGTAGCTGACAAGTAACCTTTTTAATTTTGGGAGTGCATATCTAGACACTTTAATTTGATCTCGATTAGTGTGTTTGGTCAAACTTTCAAAATTTGGCATGTAATATATAAACAGACACTTAAATTTGGCTATAGCTGATAAGTAACCTTTTTAATTTTGGGAGTGCATATCTAGACACTTTAATTTGGTGGCTGACAACTAAACACTCCAACTTGTTCTCACTATGATTCGTGAACAATCCGATGCTGACGTGACACATCAATTTAGACTACCATTATTGAATTCATATCTTAAAAGGCTACGTCCATGCATACGTATTGACGATGACTTGAGTGAGATGGTGTTCATACATAACTTGGAATTTTCCCTTATACTTTTCTACACCTAGTCAATTTTCAATTTCATCATTAAATTCACACCTTTGATGACTTTTACCATATAGAAAACAAAAAAAGGAATGAAAGAAAATTGAAAAAGAAGATTTTTTTTAATCATTTTGGTATACGAAATATAATAACGATCCGACTAATCTAATTTCGTAATGTGTAGGGTTCTATAAGGAGGAAATTGTTGTGTCATAGAAAATTTTCCATTCTGACGTGTTCAAGCCTGAAACCTCTAATTAAAAGTGGAGGAATCTCAGGTATTCATATCACTTATATGATGACCATAATTTTATTTTATTTTATTTTTATGAAATCATAATTAATGTCCCCAGTGATAGTATACTTAAGGTAAGCGAGCTCTAAAATCGACGAGGCGAGTGTCCTCGAAGAGAAATCATGATGGAAAAAGAGAGGAAAATTTGAAACTCGACATATTAGAGCAAGATGTTTCCCTATGCTTTATCATTAGTTAAAAGTGATCATACATAACTTGGAATTTTCCCTTGTACCATTCTACAGCTAGTCAAATTTTCATCATTAAATTCACACCTTTGATGGAATGAAAGAAAATTGGAAAAGAAGATTATTTTTTTTGGTTTAATCATTTTGGTATACGAAATATAATTGACGATCCGACTAATCTAATTTCGTAACGCGTAAGGTTCTATAAAATTTTCCATTCTCACGAGCTCAAGTTTGGAATCTCTGATTTAAAGTGGAAGAATCTCATGAATTCATCTCACTTATATAATGATCATAAGTTTTTTTTTTTTTAATGAAAATGATAATTAATGTTCCTACTGATGGTATATTTAGTGTAAACGAGCTCTAAGATCGACGAAGCGAGTGTTCTCGATGAGAAATCGTGATGAAAAAAGCATGAGGAGAATTCAAAACTCGAGATATTAGAAGATGCAAAATCAATGAGTGCAAGAACGATGATGCTTCTCCTGTGCCTTATCAATAATATATCACCGATAGACAACACTTGCTACACTCAGATAGATAAAGGGAATAACAAATAGTTGAAGTGTGTATTAATACATAGATAGTGATAGTTCAGGTATGAAAAAGGAACAAGTGATAGTTAAATATGAGACTCACGAAAAAAATATTTCAAATGTTTTTTTATCATTAACTTTATTTTTTATAGTATATATTTTTCGTATATATAATTAACAATCTTTTTTTTTTCTAAACCCTTCAAAACTTGGTCTTTTGGTAGGTTGGAAATATTAATGAACTTTTAAGCGTACACGTCTGAATAATTTCCAAATTCCAAGTCATTAATCAAATCAGTCCATTCAATTGTCAAATTAATTAAGGACATGAAATTTAATTCAACACCACGTATTTCTTCTTTGATAAAATTATTTCCTTTCTTTCCATTCTATTTTGATTTTTAGGTTAATTTGTACTTGGCGATAGACTTCATCATTAGAGGTTTCGAGCGTTGAAGAATATGATGTTGGCTCACCAAATCAAATGATCTCCTTCTTCAAAGTTCAGTAGCAAATTTGGATCATTTCGCATAGTTCAAGAGTAAATTTAATATTTTTTTCTTGTAAAAAATTTCTACGTGTCGGTTAAGTTTATTTCATTAGTAAACCATTTCACAAAATTTAGGGGCGAATTTGGAACTTTTCCCAAACCAATTTAAAAGTGATGGTGTATCTTTAATAATTATTAGAGAATTATAAATTAATCTAGAAAAAAAAAACTATCTAATACACAAATATTTCTAGGGATAAGACACAAGTACCCCCAGACTTTGTTCCCAAAAAAATTTGCCAACCTAGATAATGAGGACATTTTTGAGGAAGGTGAGGAAGAGGAAGAGCAAATGTTGGATTATTGTTTTGCAAATGCAGCTAGGAATGCTGATATTTCTCCTAGGCAACAACGTAACAACAAAACGAAGCATGAAAGTAAGCATAGTTGAGATGGTAAAGTGACAGAGGAGTTTGTTCGAAGGCACCTACCTATGCGACTGGCGAAGCAGAATCATATGATAGTGTCAACAATTTCAACAAGATTCAATAAAGCCAAGAAGTGATGAACTATCAAGTATTATTGGACAGATTTGAAGAAGACATGAGAAACATACTTCAGGTTCCAGGTTAGTCTATCTTTTTTAGTTCATACATTTGTAAAAGAAAGTTTGAGGTTGGTAACTCAACTTTCTCCTTGGCTTTTATGATTTTTCATTACTTTAGAATCCTCACTTGTAATATCATCATAAAGTGTATTATAAACTTTATTTAATGATCATAGAATATGGTTGTTAGTTAGTAGAGGTTAGGTACCTCATTAGGATTGGTAAAGTAAGACCTAGCCTCCCTTGCTTGTGCTTATTCCTATTGATAATTTTTTGTGTTTATTATTAATAAAAAGCCATTAGAACATTGTCTATTGGTATAAATTTGCTTGAAAAAAAAAAGTATCCCTAGACTATGACCGAAATTCCAGAGACACACATTAAATGAACTAAGATCTTATTACCCCCTCAAACTCATTCTTTTGTAATTTTGTACACCATTTTAGCCTACGTGGCCTCCAAACATCTCCCACACTCCTCTACTAAGTGGAGTCATAGAGTGTGCCACGTAAGCCAAAAGGTGTATGTACAAAATTACAAAAAAAAAAAGAGTTCAAGGGAGGTAATAATACCTTAGTTTAGTTAAGGTATGTCTCTCAGATTTCGGTCTCCCGTATTTCTACTATAAATATAGATTCACTCTATAATTTAAAATAATTACATATTGTCTCACTAATTAATGATCGTGTATCAGATTTCAAGTCAGATATATCACTCTTTCAAATTTTAAGTCAGACACGTGTATCAAAATTGCTAGATACAAAGATACATTCTAAAATACAGACACATAAAAAGAGAGCCAACTGAGAAAGTTGGTGTATACCAAATACATACAATCACACTAGATACATATAATATTGATACCAGATACATTCTAAAATACAAATACATAGACAGGGCCCATTTGGATTGACTTAAAAAAAGTAGCTTTTAAGTAAAAAATAAAAAGTCTAACTGAAATGACCTTTAAGTAAAAAAATAAAAAGTAGGGGGAGATCTACTTTTGGTTTTTGACTTATTTTTAAGTCATTTTAAACTTATTTTAAGTCATTCTTGACCTAGTCAAACACTTCCAGAAGTCAAAAACTGACTTAAAAGTAGGTTTGACCAACTTTTAAGCCAATCCAAACACCCTCTAAAAGAGGCGAGCTCTATGCATCTGAAATACCAAATACATATAGAGAAAGATAGCCGGGATAGAAAAGGATATAGAGGCGAATGAGATAAGAGATCAGGTGATCGAGAGAGTTAGTATATCCAGATGCATTTGAATCACACTTGAGTGTTATGTATCTTGAACAAATTGTACTTAATTTGAGTCGTATAAAAAATAAGCCAGATAGATGCATCTAACCAAGTAATTATGGTACAAAAATTTGGAAAACTCAAGTCAAGGCATATAACTAGTAGTGAGATATATATTATTTGCTCATTATTCTAAACGTTTTTGGTACAAATAATCCAAGCCCAAACCATTTTTACCTATTATTTCATAAGGCATCATATATTAGTATAATAATTCCCTTATAACACCTATAAGCAAGTGTTAATTGCAAAATTGTGACTTGCTTCGACTAATACAAACTTATTTGCCGGTAAATTAAGATTAAACTCATCATTAGCTTCTTTACATTATGGCTTTTCGCCTAAAAAGATTAGCTTCCATTCATACACTTTCCTCTGTATCAAGAATGGTTTTTAGCATAACTCAAACAAGAAAGATTGAAAATTTGTCAGCCCCAAGACTCGTATCAGCAATTATTTCTTCCAATTGGTTCTCTATAGGCCAAAGAGCTTCAAATCACAGTTCTACTGAGCAGGGTAAGTTTGTTGGTTATGTTGTTTTCATTTGAGCATTTGTGCAGCTCAGGTGTTTGTGGAAATGCCACAAAGACTTTGTTAGTTGTTTTTTTCAAGTGGGGTTTATTCTTTTTCATGACCAATATGTTTGGTACTGTTACTCTGTCCACTGAGGCTTGGATAGAAGAAAAGTTTTTGTCTTTTTATGTGGGTATGTTGATTTTATTGAAAATGTTTTCTCCTGAAGGAAAGGGGGGAAAGGGTATGGTGACTTATAGGGGAAATGTCGATTTCCTTTGTAGTAATCCTAGCTTTTACTTTATAATAGTTGCTTGGATGGACACTTGGTCATTTTTATTAATCTTTTATAGTCAGAAATATCATAAGAACACTCTCCTAATTTGTTACGGTCCGTTTATTATGATTATTCTATGTTACCTACTTATACACAAAAGCAATTATGGGAAGTGATCGAGAGGTGATATTCAAGATTAGACATTTTCCATGGAGAATGTCTTCCTTCATAGTATTGATTATGGATTGAACAGTGAATATTCATTCATACAGCCGACTTGAAACTGAGGCGTAATAGTTGTTGTTGTTGTTGCAGTGTTGGTTGTGGATAATCTTGTGCATCAATCATATGTTGAATACTGCTTTGTTCTGTTTCCCTTGCGGAATGAAATGAGTTTATGTTCTGAGTGCTCGTTGGTGATTTAACATTTAAAAGTAATTTTGCTGTCAAGATGACATTTTCTTGGTTCCATCAGGTACCACAGTGCACCTTGAATGTGCTTTGAATTCAAGACTTGAGAATGGTGGTGAGGATGATCAACAAGGTTACGGGAGATGGGGCAATGGCGGTGGGACTTTTCACAAGTCGGCCCTCATTGATCCCTCGGCCTTTGTAGAAGTTGGCGCTGTAGTACATTCAGAATGTGCAGTGGGTGCAGATTGTCACATTGGCTCCGGAGCAGTCATTGGACCTACTGTTACAATAGGCCAATCAACGAAAATAGGGTAAAATCTCATCAGGCTTTCTTTCATGATAATTACCTGAGCCTTAAGCCTTTTCTCAATTAGTTTGGATGTTTGAGTTTTGTGTTGGATTCTCCTAAAGAAAGAAATCCAACTGTTTAGAATTGAAAAGGGTGGGTGGGGTGCGGTAGAGGGGAAACAAAACTTAGATATAAATTCTACGAAAAAAGATAGATGATCCATTTACTTTCTCGGCCCTTGGCAGTCTCACATGTACTTATTTTTGCAGCCTGATTTATTTTTTGCACCATTTCTTATGAATGACTTTTGGTCGATGAATTATCCGCAAGTTATCTTCAGCTACAATGTTGCACTGGCTAATTGCATAGTTGGTGACTTTTGCGCTATCCACAGTGGGGTCTGCATTGGTCAAGATGGTAAGGCTGAATCTAATGTGAAATTATCTGTTTCAGTTCATTAAAAAGAAAAGGCATAATACATAAATATGCCCTTTAACTTGGCCTCAGCTAGTATCTATGCCCTCCAACTTTGGATGTGCACAAATAGACACTTAAACTTGTATAAAATTAATAAGTAGACACACTGTCCTACATGGCATAATACATATAGGATGCCACATAGGACACAAATTGGCCATGTAGGATGCATGTGTCTACTTGTTCAATTTTATACAAGTTTAAGTGTCTATTTGTGCACATCCAAAGTTGGAGGGCATAGATACTAGATGAAGTCAAGTTAAAGGGCACAATTATCTATTATGCCAAAAGAAAACCAAGACTATTCTCTTTCTGGTACATGTGTCAGGTTACCTGTCGCTGACATACTTTTGTTTTACATATTACTTCTAGTGTCAGGATTTAAATAAAAAGTTCTCTTCTTGTAACAGGTTTTGGATTTTATGTAGATGAGCAAGGAAATATGGTGAAAAAGCCTCAAGTTAGTCAAATACTATTAATCTAAGAGATATAACTGCTACCTGTGATCCTTGTAATCATATGTTTTACATGCACATGTGCTTTATTAGAATTTTAATGAAAATAATTTTAATATTCTTTATTTTTATGTTGATTGGTGTTATATTTTAGAAAGATATTTCACACATGTAGTGTCAACTTTTGTGCTCGATTTCAACCTCATTGTTATCTTAGCCCATGTCCTCGAGTTTGGTCCATGATCGTTTGTGCTAATAGCTCATTGTTTGCACTAAATCTCAGTAAGTACTTGAGCCTAACTTTGTTGTTCGACCTATGCTCAAGGTTGACTTTTCTCTCAATGAAATCAGGCCCGACTGAGCTTGAGCTAACAGTAGTTGGTCCGAACCTAGATCTGTCTCTCGTTGTTTGAAGCCAGACCAACTACCTATAAAAGTTAATTCTCTTTTAAAAGAAGTTGATAGCAGATTAACTATATAAGCTTATACTGAATGTTTTTTCATATACTTGAGGTATTATGAGCTACAGCCTTTTATAGTCTTTCAAGCCTATTTATCTTTTTTTATTACTTTCATCTGCAGACCCTGAAGGCGAGAATAGAAAACCATGTAGAAATAGGTGCAAATACATGTATCGATAGGGGCAGGTGAGATCAATGCTGTTTTTGAATTCTTTATTGCTAATGTTTCTGAGCTTAATCATATGCCACTTCATTCGGAGGCCATGCAGTTGGAGGGATACAGTGGTTGGAGAACATACAAAGATAGATAATTTAGTTCAGGTACTTTCCTACTTCTGAAGTTTTGACGAAATGCTCGGTTTCGAGACGGTTCTTATGATTCACAATACAGATTGGTCACAATGTAGTGATTGGGAGAAGCTGCCTCATTTGTGGACAAGTCGGGATTGCGGGATCAGTGACGTATGTTTCCTTTTTAACCCTGCTTTGATAAAAAATGGAAGTAAACATCTTTTTTGGATTTGATCAGCAATTTATTTAACTTTCTAGTTCAGTGAACTTTTAACTTTCAGGAATATACATTTGTTCTTATTTTAGATTAATCTAAACATCCGTCCTTCTGTTTTCTTAGTATAGGTGACTATGTAACTTTAGGAGGAAGAGTTGGGATCCGTGATCATGTAAACATTGCCTCGAAGGTATAATTTTCTATTTAACTAATGATCTGTTCCTTGACTAGCACCATTTAGTGTCATTCTATGTGGAATGATTACTCCATAACATACATGTAATTATGTTTAATAGATTTTTTATATTATATTGCGTGGGGAAATGGAAATGCTAGAACACTTTACCCCAAGCAAGAAGAGATCATATGTTACCACTTACCACTATATGCATCACAAGTTCTATTTGGCAATGCTTTACCTTGACATTATCATGTTAATTCATTGCCTAGTATTGATCTTAATGGACAAAGTTGAGAAGCCAGAAATGTCACGAATGAGTTGATTGTCACAATTAAAAGAAAGTTGCATTTTTGTGTACATGTTCTCTTGCCTCAAGTTCGTCCTCCTTTTCCGTATGTGTCTTGAGCTAACGGATATTGTAGGATAAAAGACAAGAAATTGGAGTAAACCACATGTGTAACATTCTGTAGTCATAGAACTTATTTTAGTTTGTTGGATGATGATACTATTATCCTCTTACCTTCTTCTAGCCTAAATCAGAATCAGAATGTTATTACGCTTTTTCAAAAAAGAACTAGAATGTTATTGTACATTCTATGATGGTTATGGGATTCCTGTCGCATGTTGTCTGTTCATGAAGTCAGTATATCTCTTTATTTCTACTGCCAATGGCAGTATATCTGTCCTAGTTTATGTGCCTCTCACTCGGGATAAAGGATACTTTTCGATAGGTTTGAGATATAGGAATTTTGAGTAAAAAGACTAGACATTAAGGAATTAAAAGCAGGCTCCATATACCTCTTGAAGTACTAACATTAGAAAATAATTAATCTGTGAGGGAAAGGTTCCGTCAAAGATAGCAGATACCATTTTGGGAGAAACCAAAAAGTAGAAACAAGGAAATTTCTTTGTAGTGATGGGAGGATTCTATTTTATTAAAAGGATATTACTTTATTTTATTGTAAAATCTTTTCCAAGACACTGAGGGATGCTGTGAACCATAAAGTAGTTCAACTTGGTTAATTTATCATGAATCTAGATACTAAATTTCTCACTGCATTCTACCTACTTTTTCTGTTGATTATGAACATTCTATGCGGCTTTTCTGAAGATATTATGTATAGTATGTATACATAATTAACGATGAAACTATATAATAGTGTTTTGATGCTACAGGTTAGGTTAGCAGCTAATAGCTGCGTCACCAAGGATATTAGTGTGCCCGGAGATTATGGTGGCTTTCCTGCTGTAAGGACTCTACCGTTGTTCATGGTGTCATCTAGTCTCTTCTGAAAAAATTCTGAACTTGTTTTTTCTTTATGATAGTTTGATAATTGCTGTGGCTAACTGCAGATTCCTATACGTGATTGGCGAAGACAAATTGCTAAACATCGTCAAATCTTGAAGTAAGAATTCTGCTTGAATGCCAATCCTATACAGAAATCCATGATTTGAACATTTATTTGACTATGCATGTCATTTGATGTTCACCCTCCACCTGGTGGGACCATCTGAGGACCTATTGATTCCATAGCACTTGCATTCTTTTGATCATATTTATTGCTGAGCAACGTTATCTTGGACATAGACTAGAAAATGAATTTGTACCTGAACATGTTGTTCCTCTTGCCTTTATGACATTACATGCTCCTTGAAAGCAAAGAACTTATGTTTAGATCGAGAGGTAATTTCATATCTTTAAATTAGTCTTAATGCTGCACGCCCGATGTTAATTAACTGGGCTATTTAGAATCTGTCAATAGCTTCTGTCATATTCTCAATGTCAGTTAACGATTATTGAGTACCTCCCTGAGATTATCAAAGAACAGAACTAGCAAATCGAAACACACTTTGAGCTTCTATTTAAGGCCTTGTTGCATGTAAAAACAGAATACCTTTTTGTGTTCCTTTGTTGTTGTCTACTCTGCTATTTATCATCTCTTTGTTGGTTGGTTCAACAGAATTTCTTTAGTTCAGAAATAATGCACTTCAATTTTGTAGTCGAATACAAGCCTAAAAATGAAAAATCAACAAGAATAGGACAACAAGGGTCTATCGGAAACAACCACTCTACCTTCTATGGTCTATTAGAATCAGTAAGGTGTGCATACACATTACCCTAATTAGACCCACTTGTGGGATTACACTAGGTATGTTATTGTTGTGATAAGAATAGGACAACAAATGGAAAATATCATAAATAAATGTTCCCCTTCCTAATTCATCAATAGAAATAAAAAGAACACCTCTTGTCTATATAAATAGGCAACAGCTTGCCATCTTGTCCTAGTCCAGCGGGACAATTAGCATGAAACCTATGGTGTTTACTGCTCCACGACGAAATCTTAAATCTTATAGTCGAAACTAATTCAACACGAAAAATTACTGCCCCCCTCGACCGATCATGCAGCATTTGCTTCCACTGTGACTCTGTCAATGTCAATGATGACCCACTAAGCGTACTAGCAAACAGGGTGCTATTCTTAGGCTGTTGATAGAGTGTTGTCGACACTTGGTACCCTCCAACGCTCTTTTCTCGATAATACACCGTCACTTGACTTGCATCATAGTAGATTCCAATACCTTGATTTGAATTCCTTGCTGTAACTCTGAAGCTTATGTGTGCATTTTCAGGTCCACCACCACCATCTCCGTGGCCTAAAGCAGGAATAGAGAAGTCATTGAGGAAAATATGTGGACGATGGGGACGAAGACTTAGCCATAAAATGAATGTGATGAGTCCAACAATTGCAAGAAGGCCTAAGAATATAGAACATATGAGCTTTGACACTCTTGTGGTTAAACTTTCTTTAACCCAGTGGGCATAGTAGCTAGCACTATGGTGTCGACTTACAGGGCGATCTTGATCGCGACGATTAACTGGTAATTCTGGCCTAGAATGCTGCATTTTTTTGTTTGTTTTTTCAAGTGAATGGAATTGTGGTTGATCATGAACAGTTTTTAGAGTACATTATTATATAATGCAAATCTTTGGATGTCATAGTATTGTTGAGAACTTTTTAGGAAAGAAAAGAACAAAAGAAGAACTGGTTATGTGATCTTCGTATATAATTAAATATACTTTCTTGAGAAGTAGTGTTATTGGATTCTTGAAGTTAGGGGCAAGTATACTTTGTTCTGTACACATGTTTATTCCTTCTCATAGAGAGTATTCTTGTTGAATATGACCAGAGGGGTTGCTCGGGTGATAAAACATATTTTTACCTATAACTTTAAGGTCGTGGGTTCGAGTAAGGGAGCAAACAGGTGGAAACTCCTAAGGAGGGGTTAAGAAAAAAACTTGTCGAATATATATAATTTTTCTTTTTCTCTTTGTTTAAGTTTTTGATTAAATAAGTTAAAATCCTACTAAACTATTAACTTTTTGTGAGTTTCATACCTAAACATGCTCTCTTTTTTGCTTTCTTGCTCTCTCTTTCTCCTTTTTCATATTAAAAAAATTCACTTACCTAACTCACACATCTTGATCTCCCTAACTTAATTTTAATTCCTCATAACTCCATACCTTTCATTTTCCCCAAATATATAACGTGTACAGCACCATTTCATCATAATTCTAAAAATGGGGTTTGAAGTGAGTAGAGTGTACGTAAATCTTACTCCTACCATATAAAGATGGAGAGATTTTCGTTAGTTCATTAGCTCAAGTAAAGCATCTCAAAAATTTAATGTGTAAGTTTATGTTTGGATCAGTTATGTTGAGATTAATCATCTTTGTATTATTTTTTATTGGCTGCTTGATTTGTTGTATTAAAAAATAATATGCATTGCATAATTTCTTAGAAGAAATTGTTTATTTACAAAAATACCCTCCACCTTATTTAGTAGAAAAAAAAGTTTGAGATTTCAGGGGTACTTTTGTCATTTAAAAAAAATTGTGGGCCAAAGTATCTTTATCTATCACCTTTGCCTCGTCTGGCATTAGTTACATAAGAATTAAATTATTTGATTAAAGTTGTCTAGTAGCTAATTCGCTTGACATAAGTTTAGAGAATTTTTTCTTGCTCGACACAAATTCTGAAGGAATGAAGTTATGTCTTTTATGACATAACTGTGGGTTCTGAAACTAAAGTTTTGCCTCTATCAACATAAGTGATGTAGGAACTAAGTTATGTCTTTTACCACATAACTTGTGACTTTTGAACTGAACTTTTGCCTCTACCGTCATAAACTTTGTAGGAATTAATTAAGTGACATAACTTGTGTTATATTATGATATGGAAATATAAATTTATTTTGATCGAAAATTGTTTGTTATTTTGGTGTCCCGAATATTTTCTCCCACTTAATGTTTTACTTAATGTGCTTGAAGTACAAAAATGAAAGACCGTCAAATTTGAGGGCAAAAATTAAATACTACTCTAAAATTTATTTTTAATCATGTTAAAACATGGAAGAAGTTCCAAAACAAGAGCAATCAATCCCAAAACACTTACAATTACAACATATGACCATTTCCATCTATGACTTGATTCTTCCTTCTCAATTCCTTGAAATATATTTACAATTGTTAGAATTAACAAAGCATAACCTAAAATATTATGGTATATCACCCAATATTTCCTGTATACATTTTCTTCATCTGGCTGCAAACATATCGCCAAAACCTAAAAATGATTGATCACACAAATGATATTAGTTACGGATAAATTTTATAGCTAATTAAACAACAACAACAACAACAACAACCATCACTAGTTCTATTTAGAGATGGATGAGTAATCGATTATAAAAAAAAATTGTTAGCTACGAGCTATTTCGCGACAAATTAGCAACAAAGTCGTAGCTAATCCCAATTTCTTTGTTCTTATTGGTAGTGACTAGTGAAGTCTTGCAACCTCACAAATGTCATGGTGTGTTTCAAATTTTAAAGTTTTTCTTTATTTCTTAAACTTATTATCATGTCAAACTAAGTATATGTATATAGATTAATTCTTCAACTGTTTTATTAAGTTGAATATGTCTATATACAAATGATATACAAATGTTTAATAGAACACTCCAACAAATAAAGGATTTAGCGACAACAATATAATTATCGCTATATTATATTCAACAACAATAATAAATATGGATATCTATAACCAACACTCTATATAAATGTCACTAAAGACTTTAGCGACTCTAGATGCAATAACATTAATTCAATTACAATTAAATATTTATGCAACAATAAATGTTTTGTTTTTTATTGTAGTAGAAGTAGAGGTTGTGCAATATATAAACAATAATATAAATGTACATATCTTAAATTCAAAGTACATACATATGTATATTCGTAACAAGAAAAACATAAAATATACATGCGTATATATTAAGTGGTACATGATGAACTAGCGCGCAAGCTAAATTTATATTCTGAATTCGTCTCTAAAAATTAAATCAAATCAAAGAGTACTATTTGTATCTTACTTGGATAGTAGTGAAAGTGAAGATTATGGTGCCAATAATTCCATGAGTACTCATCATAGCGTGTTGATCTTTGGGTGAATTTTTCATCATTGACATGCCAAGACCCCATCCAATTGTGCCCAAAACAAATCCTGCTACTTTTGAAAGTACATGAAGTGAATACCATTCCTCACATTTTAATGGATGTCTTTTGTAATATCTTGCAATTATTACACCTATAGGTAAGAGGATTCCCCATCCAAAAATGTTTACAACCCCATGTACCTATCATAAGATGTAAGAAATGAGGTTATTTATGACATAGGGTATGTTTGGTACGACGAAAAATATTTTTCTGGAAAATAAGATTTTTTTTTTTGTGTTTGACGTATATAAGAAGAAAATATTGTTCCAGAGATATTTGTGTATAATCTAGGTAAACACTATACGAGAACTTGAGTTGTGGGGGGTCAAGGGTGGATCTAGCCAACTTATAGCTATGTGTTCACGTGAACCCAATAGTTTTTGCTCAACCTTTTGTTTTCTTATTAAGAAATCAACTTAATACATTAACTCAAGGTCGTTATTGAAACGCATAAACTTCAAATCCTAGATTCACTTATGATACGCGCTATTGGGGGTGGTATGGAGGTGGAATGTGTTAGGGTGGAGAAGAGACAATCAGTGAGAGGTGTCACTTACGTAGAAACATGCAATTGGTTTAGCGGTAACATCATAAAGATTGAACTCCGACTCTCTAAAATTAAAATCTTGAATCCGCCTCTGCAGAATTTAAAAAAAAAAAAGGTTCGAGAAACGAGGTTCTTACAACTCGAAGTCGAGGATGATGATGTTCATGTGTAGGTCTAAAATACCATGACTTGAAATATGTATTCACTTGTGTATCATTTGATCTATCAAGAGAATTGTGATGATGTTTGTGGTGGCCACCATGGGAATAAAGATTTTCATGAACAAAAATAGCCTTCCTTTTGATCAAATTGGAATTAGAGTGAGCATATGTTAAGTCTAAGAAAAAAATCATAGTACAAAGAATTATGAAACTCATGCTAATAATAATTATAATATTGTGTATATGGAATATATTGGATGTACACAGAAAGTTAAAGTCCAAGACATGAAAAACAACAACTTGTATTTATAACTTCCAGAAATCTAACTTTTTGTATATTCGTACTTTATTTTACTCTAATAATTTTCGTTAAATAACAATAATAATGTATTCAATGAAATTTACTAAGTGGGGTTTGATAAAGGTAGAGCTTATGCAAGCCTTATCACTATTTCGTGAAGGTAGAGAGATTGTTTTCGAAAGACCCTCGGCACAAGTGCATCAAACTCAAGTAGAAGAAGAAAACAATGAATAAAGCATATTAACAGTTAATAAGAAAAACATTGGAAGGTCTACAAGAAAGAAACAATAATGACAATAAAATAGTGTGATAATCGAAGAAACACAATTTTCATTAAATAATGCATGTCAAAATTGCGGAAATTGGTATTCCAATTTATGTGATATTGTATGAATAGGAGTTGATTTTGGTTTTTTTTTTAAAAAACTTGTGGCTTAAAATAAGTTATAAATGTTTGTATAACAATAAATCATCTGATTAAAAATAAATTAAGAAGTATAAATTTTATTTTTTGAAATAATTATGTCTTCCTTTTTATATAAATTTACATAAAAAGGAAAGTCTATCTCCATTAGTAATAAAAATATATATATATATATATATCTTACGCTCTCTAAACCTCAATTGTGGATCGTTAAAAAAAGAAAAGTGTGTCACGTAGAGGCGACAATATATGTTTAGCGCCGAACTATACTTTTTTTTTTGGTCGGAATATATTCTTTACTTATGACAGTAGCGTCAAATCTGTCAAAAACTTTATACTATGATTTTATTCTAAGCTTCAGCATCTTTCTGTCATTTTCTACACCACTTTTGAAGTTCCATGGACTAAAGTCATTGTTTAATTTAGACCCAATATATAAATAGACAGTTAAATTTAATTTTAGCTAATACGTAAGTATTTGAATTTTGAAAATGTATATTTAGATATTTTAATTAGATTGATAATATTTTAAACAATTCAATTTGTTTTTACGAGGAATTTTAAAAATGTATATTTAGATATTTTAATTTGATTGATAATATTTTAAACAATTCAATTTGTTTTTACTATGTCTCGTAGAGGTGTTTAAATGATCATTTTGTAAGTTAGAGTGTTCAATTGATATGATGAGTTGAGGATAAGTCAATATTAGATTGTTTATTTATCAGCTAAGACCAAATTTGAATGACATAATACATAAAGCGTCATTTAACTTGACTTCAGTTGACATCTATACCCTCTGACTTAAAATGTGCATAAGTAGACATTTAAATTTGTATTCCCTTTGTCCAACAATACTTGTACACTATTGACTTTGCACACTTTAATATAAATAGAAGAGTAATTTTACTATATTACCATTTTTTTGGAACCCCAGGATAACCCGCAGCCGCTACAACCTCTACCCACTTCGGACTCCTTATTCCATTTTCGGACCGTTTTGAGGCGTTGGCTAAGATCCTTCGGGTGAGCACTCTGTGGTGACCATTTTGTGCGCACTAGATAAACTCTCCACTATGTAATAGCCTGCAAACCACACAGGGAATGTAAAAACACTAGGTATGC